GAGAGAGAGAGAGAGAGAGAGAGAGAGAGAGAGAGAGAGAGAAGAAAGAGAGAGAGAAGAGAGAGAGAGGAGCCCCTCCCCTCCCTGTGTCTCTCTATCCGAATGGTAGTATGTGTATGCCGCGCGCGCAGAAAGGTCGAAATTGGGTTGAAAAAGGTGACGCCCAACGTTCTACATTTGACGTTTGCGGTGCGTGCGTGTGCAGGGGAGGGCGGCTCAACCCCGCCAATCTGATCTACAACAACCCTACTCTACACCGCGAACCTTCGACGCGTCTGAAATCTTCAGCGGGCGCGGCCTTTTTGAGAGGCAAATCAAAGTCTTTTTCCTCTACGAAGGTGACAGTAGAGTTATTTCGCTCTCATACCTGTCGAAGCGTTTCTTTTGTCATAGAAGAAGCTAATCCCCACACCAAACCACACCCCTCAATAATCGACCCGTTTTTTAAAAAACTTTTGTGGGGCCATCATATCATTGTCCATAATCTTGTCCATCATCACTCGCGGCGTGCACAGTCGCGTGCGCGCGCACTCCTCGCGCGGCCAGCAGCCTGCTCGCGTGATTCGCTCAGCCCGCCGCTTATTTCGCCTTGCTTTGGCCGCGCTGATTGGCGATAAGGCCCGGGCCGGCCGACTCATTTGCAAGTCAATGGCACCGTGCGTGGAGCCTCATTCCATTACGTGGTGTGCGCTCGCGGTCACTCAGCCTCTCTCTCTGCGGGAGGACTATAAGGGCTCACCGGGGGGAAGAGAGAAAAAATAAAATAATCGAGGGGATTGAAGAGGGGTGTGTGTGTGTGTGCGGGTGGTGGTGGTGGGGGCCGAAATGGAATTTATGGGACTAGGCTTGGCATATTACAATAAATTATTTACTTGCTCTGTGGGGACGCGTTGAGCCGGCGTGGGCAGGCGGCGGTGCGGCGGTCTGCCGCACACAGAGTTGGACATGAGAGGCCGCAGCCCAGCAGCCGCAGTGACGGCATAGAAGGTAAAATGGCACGCCCGCCGCCCCCCTCTCAACTCGCTCGGCTCCGATTTTACTTCTTTTCTCTCTGGCGGCGGCCCGGGCCTGGGCGCCCTGTGTCTCATACCTGGGCAGCCTCTCTCTTGTTTTGGCCGTGACGTCACCGTGACGCGAGTGCCGTGCCCGCCGGGCGCCGCCGGGGCCCGCACTCATGTCAGTCTGACGTCGCCACCGTGTGCCGTGCGCGCCCGCCGCCCAGCTCCGTCATGTCCACTGTTTAATGCTTACGGTGAATTTCACCGTTTCACCATTTTACAGCGACCCTGCAGCACCGTAAGCTGCGGTCAATTTTCTCCGCAGGCTACGGTGAATGTAACTGTAAGCTGCGGTGAATTTCACTGTAAGCTACGGTGAATCAGGGTACATCACCGTAACTTACAGTGATATTCACCGCAGCTCACGGTGAAAATTGACCCTAAGCTATAGTGCTGCAGGGTTAGCTGTAGCTTACGGCGAAATTCACCGTAAGCTTTGAACAGTGTCCATAACTGTTTCTTGTCTGCTACGTTTGTGTCAAAGTTTTAAACCCTGCCAACCTCTGCTTTTTTTAAAGTGGCGGCAGCGCCCTGATAATTTGACGTTATTATTGTTATGTTTAAGATTGAATATTCAAAAGAATTTTTGAAAGGATTACGTTAATGAAATGTACGTAAATCTTTGCATTTTCGCGGGCCCATTTCCGAAATCTGCTAACCCCACTCTACCGCGCCCCCGCGCCGCAGCCAGCTCCGGGACCGCCGCGGGGGCGCTGGCGCTGCGCGGGAACCAATAAGCCTTGTTGTTTCTTGTGCCCCGGCCGGCGCGGGCCCGCGGGGCCGAGGCCCAGGCCGAAGCCGGGGTGGCCGACCTGTACCCTGAACCCTTCTCATGATCGAGGTCGCGTTTCATCTGGTCGCGGCAGGCAGAGTCGGTGTGGCTCTGAGGCTGCGCGCGGGCGCCGAAGTGATCATGACAAGGGATCAGAAAATGACGTACGCGGTGGTTGTGTCGGAGTCGGTCGGAGTAAAGTGAGGACGCGTTCGGAATACGGGTAGTGTGTCGCGGCAGAAATATCCTGTCAACATCCGCCCACGAGGCCCAGAGGGAGTTTGATACCGGGACGCCGAAGGCAGGCCACGCAAACTTTCCATTTTGGGGGGGTGGGATTTAGGCTGTCTACGTCTCGTCAAAGATCAGCGTAATACCCCCAAAAATGTTGAGTGTGCCCCCGGCTGGCCCGCCCTCGAAACAAGTTCTTGTGGAGCAGTGAGAGTGAGACAGACAAAAGAGGGAGAGGGGGAACTTGAAAGTCGCATATTTCAGTAGCTGAGGAACAGAAGTCCCAGCGTCATGGTTTTACTATTCTTCCGGATGGAATCACTGCCAATCAGCTGATGGCCTCTGGAGATTTTCACGATCTGAAATTCCTGTTTAAGAATGCAGGTCGCCTCTCTGTCCGCTGCTGTGCAGCGATCTCCAACGGCGGGAGGTCCTGCGGGCGGGGCGGGGGGTCGAGAGGTCCTGCGGCCGGGACCCCGTCCACTTTGCAGATGACGTGCGCCCTGCCCCGCGGCAATCATCTGAGAGTGTGTGTCCGTGCGGCCGCTGTGTTTTGTACGAGTGAGGGAAGGAGAGAGAGAGAGAGGGAGTGTGAGTGTGAGAGAGGGAGTGAGAGAGTGAGAGGGAGTGAGAGAGTGAGAAAGTAAGAGGAAGTGAGAGAGAGAGAGAGAGAGAGAGTGAGAGGGAGTGAGAGAGAGATAGAGAGAGTGAGAGGGAATGATAGAGAGATAGAGAGAGTGAGAGGGAATGAGAGAGATAGAGAGAGTGAGAGGGAGGGCGAACGAGAGAGAGAGCGAGAGACAGACAGACAGAAAGCCAGGGAGAGCGAGAGAGCAGAACTGTGGTGCTGATGGGGTTGGTGTGAGGGCTGTAGTCACTGACTCACAATGCCTCTCGGCCGCAGCTCAGCACGCCCGCCCAACGTCCAGGCATTTCCGATATTAACAGTCTGCTGCCGTCCGTTACGCGCCCCGGGGCCGGGGGGTTAGACCGGGGGGTAGACCTACACAGCTTCCACTGCCGAGGGGCGGAGCAAACCTCCGGAGAGGGCGAAACAAAAGGAAAAGGGGTTTGCTTCATATTGTCAATATACCGTCCCTCTGCTCCGTGACGAGGTTCCGTCATTATGCCCTCCCACCACCCCGCTGCTGACCACTGCGTGACGTAGAACCTTATTCTGTCGCAGCTGGCGATGCCGGGGGGCCAGCTCCCCCGGGGCGGAGGCCCGACCACGGCGGCCCTGCCGTCGTGGCCTCGGTGCCGCGGCCCCCAGGACCCTGCCGGACGCCCCGCGGGACGCCTCGGACCCTGCGGGCGCCGCGGATGAGCGCTGCGTACGATGAACACCTCGACGGCGCCCTTCGGGGCCCTGGGGCCCGGCCTGGGGCCCGCGGGGACCTATGGGGCCTCCATGGACGCCACGAACGCCACCATGACGCCCGACCAGGTGCGCCAGGTCATCGAGCAGTTCCTGGAGCAGCAGTTCGTCTACAAGGAGGCCAGCCACATTGTGCTCATCGCCTGCTACGTGCCGCTTTTCCTCGTGGCGCTCTTCGCCAACTGCCTCGTCATCTTCGTCGTCTTCAAGTACCACTACATGCGGAGGTGAGTGCAATCAACGACAATCCCTAAGAGCCGCGTTTCTTTGTCGCTTTCCATCTGACGCACCCCGTTTGGGCCCCGCGGGGCCCCGAAAAGAAAGTGGCCACTTCACACCGGTGAAAATTAAAGCGCAAATTCTGCGCCCCGTAAATTCAACAACGCCAAGACGCCATACGACAAGCCAGAGTAAAGTTTAATGTCCGTTGTGCGCAGTTAATACTTGATGTCGGGTCAGTATAAAAATATATCCCCTTTCCCGTCGAGGTCAAGGTGAGCGCGGGGCAGGCGGCAGACACCTGTGTAGGTGACGCGCGTCTTATACAGAGACGCGCCCTTTCTTCTCCTTGTGTGCCCTTCAACTGTGCGGCAAAGCCAGCGCCGCCGACCGCCACAGCCAAACAGGCCGCAAAGTATCCTGGTCATCTTACCAGCCGGCCGCAGCCCCCCTCCTCACTCCTGACACTGGGTCACTGGCCGATCGCTTGCGGCCGCGAGGCTCACAGTCAGGCCTGTTAAAGAGGGGGTGGTGGGGGGTGGGTGGGGTGTATATCGATAGCAGATAGGTCGGGGTGGTAATGGGTTGCTCGTTCCAATCGGCCGACACAACCCCAACTCCCACCCCCGTCCTCTTTAATTATTTTTAAAATGCAGAATGGAGCTGCTTCTCACCCTTTGTCTGTGACACCCGTAAAAAAATAAAAAATAAAATAAAATTAC